CTGACCATGCGGTGATATAAATTCATGCATTCTGCGTTTAGATGAGGATGAGCGTTTAGTACATCTGGACGATTAGTGCAGAATCGTGTTAATCTCAAAGCTAACGGGTTTAGCTATAGTATGTTCCTGAAAGACAAACTTTAATTAATTGTAATAGACGATATTTTAGAATAGAAAAAGAATACGTAACGCCAAAATTTGAATTGTTGTTCATGACTCAGATTACTTTTATTCATTTGTCTGAAGAACATTTAGAAACGCAAACATTAGAGTCATTCAAATATGATATAGGTAGTTTTTTAGATATATTTGACCTTCTCTTTACTTAAGAAAATCAGAATCTGTATTTTCGCTAACTCCCTAGCTCTAGGCCGATTATATAATATACGGTCCTTTCTGAAGCAAACAACATTTATTGAAACGAGACAACGGTAAAAAAAATTTACCGGAAAAATGAACGGTAATAGTTTTTTTACCGAGACAAAATATCGGTAACGGTAAAAGAGTTCTTACCGTACGAAATTTACCGTGGGAACGATACGATGAATTTACCGAAAAGCGAGATTACCGCGGTAACGGTAAACGAATTTACCGGTTACCGCACATCCTTAGTCTACACGTTGGTAAAAAAGGTTTTCTCCTAACTATTTTCTGCGAGTCTGAAACAAGGTTTTATCCCGTTACGCAGTAACATATTTTTTTTCTCATTTTCGATCATCTTTTCTCATCTCGTTTTGGACCACTAAACCTCGTTCAAAAAATTTCATTTTTGTACAGGTAGATAGATTTCTGTGTACTCTTTCCAATGCACTATAGAAAATTGTTGTGAAACGATTTTAACACTGCGAAGCATTAATTTCAAAAATTGCACTCTTGGATATTTCCAAAAAATTGAATTTTTTTCTTAAGCCTCAAAACTCAAAAGCTTAGTAAGCCATTTTGTAGAGAATTGAATTCTCTATCGGATGGTGTATATTTCAATCTTTTTAAAGAAAGTGTCTAGGTGACGAAATTGAAAATAAACTTTTTAAAAAATTTCAATTTTAACTTTTCAAATGAGCACTCCACTTTTTGTGAAAAAAATGTCAGATTCGTAATCAGCGTGCAAAACTGCGTCTAGTGATGTGCCTCTACTGATTCGAGTAAAAAACATGAAAAAAAACTTGATCAGCGAAGTAGCGCGGTACATGGACAAGCCGCATAGAGAATTTTTTACAAGCGGAACCGCTTTTAGAAAATTTTTCAAAACCGGTTTTTCAATAGGTTTCTGGAAAACTTGTGCATAACAGAAAGATTTAAAATGCAAATCTATTGATTTTTTTACATCAGAGGATAGAGAAAGTGTCCATTTCAAAATGAGATCCAAGTAACTGTGCGAAAATATTTGCTTTAGTTCGGTGAGCGATTTTGTGCTCACTCTCCCTCAGATACAAGATCGATAACAGTTCAGCTCAGTAATGTTGAAAATCTGTGGAAACATAGGTTATCGATCATCCCGAATCTCGTGGAAATGTTCCCCCATTTCATGATTTGAAAACGTTTGTCCCATTAGAACTCAAATCCATCTCTCGCTGGTTCGCCAGTATCGCAAGTGCAATGCAAGAAACTAACTTTTTTCTCGAATAAGCGTTGTAAAAAACATAAAAGCAGACCAAAATCAATAAAATTTAATCAGAGACTTCTTCTGAGTCAGATTGTACATCGTCTTCGATTATATCATTATCACGATCTTTGGCTATTGCATCTGCTTTTTTAAATATTTCTTCGTAATATTTTGTATGGTCGATAAAACTTGTAGCTATTCTTTCATTGCATAAGGTCAACCAGGCTTGGGTCCACATACCACCATTATTCAAATTAAACGTCAAATTATTGTTTCTAATAAATGTTTCCATTTCGGCTCACGCCAGTTCGATTGGGTTGAGGAAACAATGGTTAATTGGCATAGGTAGGATTTCCACATTGAAAATTGCTGTTGCTTCTTCTGTCTTGTACTACTTTTTTGGTGCGTAAGCATCAACCAGTTCCAATAGCTCCGCTTTCGAATACACATATCCGCAATTGAATATCTACAAACCCCAGTTCTCTAGCTCTCACCGATGAAAACCTATTAGAGAAATGGCTGTTCTTCTTTTAAACGGACAATAGTCACTGAACTCCTTCATTATGGTCAAATTTCGCGGAAAACTGGCAGATATCAGATAATACTTTACTGCGCAGAAGTTTCTTACAGTGTAAATAACACACAGTTAGTGGAAAAAGTGTTTGTAAAATGGAGAGCAAAAGACCTACCACATCATTATCTCCTGAAGAAAAAAAGATAGAAAAATTCTTTGTTTAATCAATCGATAACTGTAATTCCCAGCTTTATTTCTTGCTAATAGCAAACTTTTATCTCAAGTCTTTCTATCAAAAGATAGAAGTTTTATAACTCTTATCTGTTTTTTCACATAATAAGCGTTAGTACGATCATCTATTCATTTCTATTGAATCATTTTTAATAGTGAAAAATTTCAAAATCGATAATAAGACTGACACCACCTTATACATACTGAAGTTAACTGTTTCACTTGAGACTACTTTCGTCTTTATTCAAAAGGCATCAGCAGTCAAAAATGATAACTGAATTTATCTCCTTTTAAGCACAGAAAAAGAAAACGAAAAACATGTAACGTAGTCCATTATTTAGTCGTACATGGTACGATGCGTCGTCAAGAAATTTTCAGAGTAAAGGTTTTTCGAGAATCTATATTCCTAATTTTCTTTTTACTTTACATATTCATAAATAAATTAAATTTTATCTCTCCTTTTATTCCATGAAATTTGAAGGCAAGAATTTCAGGTTAACAGTTTGTTCTATGACGACTAACAATACTATGGTTAGCAATCTTTGAGAATCCAAATTGAAAAGCATTTAGACTACAACGATCATTCCCTATACAATGTTCCGTTGGTGAGTCGCTGCTGGCTGTATTTGTTTTAGCCAAATTCTTTGTAAATTAGCTCCACAGTATGACGAAAAAAGGCTAGATGTGTCACTAGTGACCAGTGCAATTTAGTGCAATGTAATTGCACAACTTCAACCGTTGTCTAGTATATAGAAGAGAAAGAATAGGATTACTTTTGCAGTTTTTTCTGCAAAAGTAAATTTATTTGATTCTTTTCTTTTATCTAGTCATATCTTCTATCTAAGCTGCTGTTACAATACTTTCTGTATTACTCAAAATGATAGCTCGTTTATTCTTAATTGTTATTTCAATATAACTGTTTGTACATCCACAACAGTCATATTTATACACCACTCAAGGACTATCATACCATGGCAAGGTCTGTCCTGGCTTGAAACGACAAGTTACCGCTTTCATTGCATGTGAAACTAGTTTTTTCAATTGGTTACCTAAAACTAATGAGCACTCTCCATACTAAGGCATAGAGCAATAAAATTGTTTTTGATCTAGAGCAGGAATGGGCCCTTTTAAGATGTTATTTAACTTTAAATATCGTCTTTTCTACAATATTTAATGCATCGCCATTTGAATGAAAACCACGAGTATAATATTCTAATTCTTTCGCAAATAGTTATTTAGACGAGCAATTCTTTCAAAAAAGAATTGAATTAGAAATAGACATTTCATATCAAAATCTGATACATTTTTTCTAGAGAACAGGCCTTCAGGATTTTCCCATATTCGGAATCGACGACTTACGTTGTTCGCGCAAAGAACTCGTCGGGGCACCCACGTTTTTTGAACCCATGGGCTCCGCTGTAGGTTTTCACGAAATCCGGTGAGAAGAATCAGAATTAAGAATTAAATGATCAACGAGAATAAAAAAAAAAACTCATCTTGATTAAAGTACAACTGACATTCTTGTCGAAATTTCTTCGTTTAGTCTTGATAAAATAAATTAGTTTTTACGCTCAATTTTCTCTCTCTCGCTCTCTCTCCAAGAATAGAATAGACACAAGATGTACTTATTCGTTCGAAAATTGCAGATAACCCAAGTGAAAGTCTAACGTTTGTTCCTGAAAAATTAAACGCAGCTTGAGCTTAAAATCTCTTCGTAGACCCTCCTTTAATGAATTTGTAAACAGTACAATCAATTATGCACCCTCTGATTTTCGTCCTGTTTCCAATATTGAAAGTCCATAGTTATCTAGTTCAACTGGAAACTCGACTACACTTCCATAGTCTGCAACTGACACAATGACCAGTAAAAAGCAAGGCAATCGATAGGTGCGGAGCTTCTTTCATCGAGCCTGAGACATAAAAGTAAATACTTCAATTAGCAAGCACTCGTAAAAAGCACCTGAATTCATATACACCTGTGACGGGATAGTCTGTGCTGCTGACATTTCTTCAAGTCACACGATTGCTCAAATCTCCAATTAGCTGGTGAGAAGAATTTACTAGACTACTCACTGAAAACGTCTTTCTGCTGGGTTTTAATATTTTTTATCGTGTGCATTCAATTCTCTTTCTATAAGCAATCATGTTTTCAAATACATTCAGATGGACGAGACTAAAATTCTCGATAGTAATACGCTTTCCACATTTGAAAGTTAATAAAACCATTCTTTATTTGTATGGAATAGTTATTTTCTATTATTTTACGTTTTGTATGGAAGAAAAATATTTTTTACGCTTGCAGACTAAAAATCTGTGCGTGAGCATCATAAAAGATGAAAATTCGATTTTGTTTGACTAACGTGAGATTAGAGTATGGAATTTTTATTGCATCTGACAGACATCTAGGAGTGTCAATACTGTGAGCTTTAGTTCCTCTACAAGTCAAAGTTATCAGGAAAAATACCAAAATTTTTGAATTACATAAAATCAGCCTTAGCTCCACAACCAAGCCACATTCACTCGAATCTCTTTAGGCTTTTTCTTACAATCGTCGACACTATCTATCACCAAAATATGAGTTCAAACAGTTTAAATACTTGTTATCGTATATGAGTCAGTAGTTTTTTATTTTTATAAAAGTGTCTCTCTTTCCTAACTTGAATTGAGAGGTTGATAATGTTTTTGATTTCTATGACGAAATTTTCTAACTAATATTATAAAAGATGATGTTACAATTATACCAACTACAAAAGCAATTGTAGCTATGATTCCAATAAATTTCGAATTTATAATCGTATCAGGTTTCTTTCTTGAATGTGTGATTAAATAATTATTGGCTTCATCATACCATTGTAAACCAAAATCGGAATTATAGAGCATATCATTGATTAAACGAGAATAATAAAGACATGCAGAATCTATTTTGCCTATTGCTGAATATGCTCTCGCTAATCCAAAAAGTGTCAATGTTCTGTTAGGAAAATATGTCATTACATTTAGAAATTCATTAATGGCTTGTTCATATTGTCGATGTTCCAGAAGAAGTTCACCATAAAGTTCTTGACTAGGTTTTACGGGATCAATTGGAGGACCATAACATGGTGGATTGACAGATACTTCTAGGTTCATAGCCATTTTAGCATAATTCAATGCGATATTTTGTTCATTATTTGTAGTAGAAATTCTATAATATTCATGAAATGCTTGTAATTGATATTTCATTGCTAATATTGATATCGAAAGTGTCGGTTGTGTTTTATTCAATTTTATTGACATATCTTCTAATTGTTGAATATATTCTTGTACTACAGTTAAATTATATTCTTTATTGTTCTTAATGGTAGAAAATCCTTTAACAAGTAATAATCCAGAATTAATTTGATATAACCAAACAACATCCCCAGTTGATACACATTCAGAACACACAATTAAATTAAATGGATTATCAAATGTAAAATTATAGTCTTGTGTTTCTATAATATGTCGATCATACATAATACCATATTGCATTTGATAAAAAGTATCATTAATAAATAATTCTTTTAAACTTTCTAAAATTTCTAAAGCGATTGTTCTTCTTCCCATATTTAAATATATATAGTGCATAAATTCTAAACTATGATATTCTCGTTCTCCATTCATTACAACATTCATTCCAGCTTCATCCGATTCCAAATTACCATATAATGCTTCAGTATATAATCCTAATCGAAGATAGATATGTGTTGGCATATGTTGAGCATGTGGGGAATTTGGTGCTATACGAGAATATTTTATTGCATTTGATAAAGCAAATAATGCCATTTTTGGTTCATCATAAACATGAATAAAATAGTGTAAAGCACCAGGATGATTTGAATTATCTTTTAAGATCATTTTTAAAATATCTATTTGTAATTGACGATCTTGTGGATTACGATTTAAATATCCACGAATTTCTGGTTGTGTTTTTGAGAATAGTATACATACTAAAAATAAAGCAGCTTCATTATCTGTTGGAAATAAATTATAAATTTGTTTTAATATACTAATATAATCGTCATAATGCATTATTCCTTGATCAAAAAATTTTCTTACAGCTATAACATAAAGTTGTTCTCTTGATGTTAAACGTTCAAAATGAATTTTTGAATTCATTAATTGTACTTGTTCCCAACCTTGTTTAGAATTTTCTTCCATCCATACAGGTTTTGAATTAGTTAAAGATGAAAATACATATGCCATAGCAAATTCTGAATCAATAGTATATGCCTTTTTAAATTGTTCAAATGCAAATGAATACCAAAAACTATGCATACAAGCAAGACCAAAAATGAAATGTTCTTGTGCTAAACTATTATTTGTACTTGTTGGAAATCGAATATATTGTTGTCCAAGTAATGGTTTAACTTCATAGCATGAAATTTTTGTTATTGACAATGACGATAGAAGTAAAAGAAGAGACAAGATGAAATTCTTAATCAGTTTTTCAAACCACTTGTTTGTAAAACTGTGAACATAAACCCTATAAAAAAAACGATACGGTTGGTGAATCTATGTAAAACCGACCAACATTCCACCAATGCACAATCTCTTACTTTACAATATAAGACTTTTTTCGATTATTCTGCAAGTGAATAGAGATGTTTTTTGCAAACATTGTATTAAGATACCTTTTCACTTATATTTAATAGAAAATGTACAGTAAGGCACTCCAAATTCAAAGTTTAAGCGCCATTTTGTTGAACCATACATCATTCGATAGAGAATTGCAAGCTAATCAAGAGTATCAGAGCATTCAGCCTTCCCAATGCAATTTTTTAGTGAAAAAAATTCAGAAAACTGCTAGGACCTGTTTTTTCGAAAAACCGCTATATTTTTCAACAAATTGATTAACTCGCTTCGAAGCTATGTTTTTCTTATTCAACGACGAAGACTGCATCTAGAAAACCGTATCAAGGTTCCACATCAAAAACTATTTTCTGGGCGCGAAACGGGATCGATATTTCTTCGGTTTCGGAACCATCATCTTGCAAATCTGTCGCAGCCCTTTGCTAAACACATGAAGCCATGTTTCATACGCCATTCGATTCGCCTTGAAACGTAGAAGTTCCCGAAACTGAAGATATATCGGTCCCGTTTCGCGCCCAGAAAATATTTTTGGTGTGGAACCTTGAAATACAGTTTTCTAGATGCAGTCTTCGATGCTAAATAAGAAAAAACATAGTTTCGAAGCTTCGAAATGAAGTAGAAGCTAGTTAATCAGTTTGTTAAATAATATAGCGGTTTTTCGAAAAAACAAGTCCTCGAATTTTGAATCTGAATTTTTTCACAAAAAATTGCCTTGGGAAGGCTGAATGTTTGATAGTCTTTATTAGCGTGCAATTCTCTATCGAGTGATGTATGATTGAGCCCAAAACATAATGGTGCTTTAACTTTGATCTAAATTTGGAGCACCTTACATTGATAGCGTATCAGATAGTTGAAATAATTGTGGGATCTACATAACTCATGTCATCTACAAACTGGCAACGCCCAAATCAGATTTTTGAGAAATTAACTATTTGTTTTGTAGAGACTTCTCGTTCAAAATCAGGACAGGGCTTAATAGATATTAGATGTGTAATGAGCACTGTCGAATTGCTAGAAGTAGCTTGCTTTCATGCTAAAAACGATTGAACAGTTAAGGACCTATGAAAGATCGAGAGCACGCGTTTGCGGAATGCATAGAGAACACTTTCGACTATTAATGTAGGGCAGGACAGGTTAAGGGTATGAAACACTTTTATAGGGTAGGGCACAGGTTGAGACGATTGTCATAGACTGGTACCCTGTGAGATAAAAAACGCTTAATATTGACAGATATTCGCTCCTGTAGTGGCGGGTGCATAACTTCGTTGTTTCTGAATAAAACTGCAGCTAGAAAAATGAACTTCGATCGCATTGTCAATAACAAAAATTTCATGCTATGAAGTTAAACCATTACTTGGACAACAATATATTCGATTTCCAACAAGTACAAATGATATTTTACTCCTACTTTCTTATGTGTAGGTGTAGGGTAGGGTGTAAACTATCTGAAGTCAATAGGATAGGGCGGGGGCAGGGTGTGAAAGCTGAAAGGGCAGGATACGAGAAATTTTTATAGGATGGGGTACAGAGCACAAAAGGCTTGTGCCACGCATACTTCTAGTTGAAAGTTATATTTCTACAGTAGTTGCTTTACTGATATCTAACACAAAATCAAATCAGTATAACTTATCAACGTTATCAAATTTGCAAATGAAACGGAACCGCATTTATTAGCTATTATTACACTGATCTTCTAAACGATGCAAGAATGTGCACAATCGATCTATCTAACAATCGCCAGTACCCTTACTGTAGTAATTTTTGTTCATTTTATAAATTTTGAAGAGACTATCCCACACAATTGACTGATATCTGTTTTATAGATAGAATTGTACTCTACTCGATCAAACGTTGTCCAACTCTACGCAGACTTTTGTTCAGCAGGTACAATAAAACGAGCCAAGTCTGTGTGGTTTTAGAATTTCCGTGAAATGGTTCCCGAGCTTTCATCATATCTACAGAATGAGAGACTGTCGTTTGTTTTTGTAAAGTGCAGTTCTGTACACAAAACTTCAAAATTTATTGAACGAACACTAACGCACTAAAAATATTATTAAATAATCAATATTGAAGTACAAAAGCTCTGATTATAGGTAACCGACAGAGCTTCATAAAGGCTACATGATCAAATATCTGACTTCGCTCTCAAAACCAACTGTTTAGTGAAGAAAAAGCTTATTGGCCTACCTCGAGTCCAAATCATGCAATGTCTTAGGTTGACATTTTTATCATATGTAGATTATTTAAAAGAACGTGTCTGTTTTTTCGGTTTTAAGTAATAACTCCTCGCTACCAACAGACAATTTTTTCGACAATTTTCTCAAAATCTTCTGCATTGAAAAAGTAGATTTTTTCTATCGGTTTTCGTATTTTGCTTCCTTGTTCAACCGAGAAGATATAATAATAAAAGACAGTCGTAATCTATTGAATACTGTCCACATATGATAAAGCTTTCCAACCGAGATGTTGCTTGGTTGGGGTTCAAGATTGAACAATACGCTTTCGCATTCTTATTACTGTGGCGGCGTGTATAGCTCTCGAATCATACATTGTGCAAAGACGTGATTAACAGAACGTTTTCATAGCTCGCTAGGATCTATAATTACTGAAAGTTTCTTGTCTCTGTGATAAGTCGTTCTTTAGAAACACGGGAAAGCGGGCAGGGAAAGATTTATTTCAATGTGCATTTTTTGGCAAAAAAGTGAGTTGTGGAGGACAAAATCCAAAGAAACTAATGCTCAAAATATTGCCATTGCCGTCTTATTTGAATCATCTGTCAGTATTTCATATAACAACTTACATAATTGCTGTATATTATATACAGGTCACGCTTCTTCCTCTTCTTTTGTTTAAACTTTTGTTATTCTCAAATAATCTTGACTTTTATTCTTTTCTTACACTGTTTACCAAATGACGACATATCTTTTGTCATGTCATATTACCCGAATAAATAATTGTTTCATATTACATATTAGTGTAGCAATGTCTTACATATTCTAGGTTGATTATCATTACAATCGAGAACTCGGTATGATAACTAGGCGAAACTGACCTAGATGATTCTAATATGGTCAATTTTCACTACAAATATCATCAAATAAACTGAATTTATATAATCGTAAAATTTTATATAATTATAGTACTTTGTATGCCGTTCTCTTTCGTTCGATATCTGTAAAGTAAAACAATGACCTTGAGTGTTTCTGTGTATAAAAAAGTATGTACACCATAGAATTAGTCTGTATAGACAGTAGATCGTTTATATGATAACTCTCGAGAATTTCAACCGATTACCATGAAACTTTGTATGGTGCAGGTAATGCAAAATTTCAGTGGAATTTGTTTCTGGCATTATTATACATATTCAGATTCAGCTTAACGAGCTGATTACGAATAACACCTTCCGAGCCTCCAAAAGCCATTTCTTCATGGAGAACAACTCAAATTACTAAAAGGATCTCAAAAATACAAAAAAACGTCCTATATGGTGGAATTGACTTTTTCAGCTCGTATTGCAAAATGGAAGGTTCGAGTTGTATTTTTCTAAACCAGCATTAAAAACTGATTTAGAAAAAGGTTTTCAGCTCATTTCAGACGTAAACAGTGGTTGGCCATGGACGTCCGAACCAACGGCTATCAACTGAGTATGACTCATTTTGTAAACCTATCTAGTTTTTTGGGTGAAGGGCTATATCGATGATTCACACATCATCAGATCGTCCAACATGTCAGCTTTAAAAATATGTAGAACTTTTATCAAAATTCGTTTTCCTTGCTGAT